GACTTCTGCTACAATTTCCTCGGACAGGTTTACAACTACATGCTGCATAAGCACAAACACGGATACAACGAAGCGATGGCATACGTGATGTTTTTGCTTCCGGGCATCATTGCCTACTGCTCGACGATCAACGAGGCAAACACACTGTTTCTAATCTGTGAACGGTACGTGTCTGTGTGCCACCCGCTCTTCTGGAACACGGTGTCGATGGAGTCAAAGTACCGAATGTTCCTCGGCTCTTTCCTTAGTTCGTTCGTAGTCACCACCGTCAGGCTGACTTATTTCGGCACGGTGAGGATCGAACGTCTACCGTACAACCTCACTACCGATGACCTGTACCATGTCGTCCACAGAGAAAGACTCGATAGCGCCGCTTTCGAGGTATGGATGAATTTCAATGACATCTTCATACCGACTATGTTTCTGGTGGTGATGCTGTACGCCACGGTAAGTATGTGCCTAGTGATCAGACGACGCAACCAAGTCAAGGTGCAACCGAACAGCACGACGCTTACAAGCGGCCACTGCGGTTCCGAGAGTAGGAGCACTACGGAATCCCGCAAGGCCACCCACCTTATGCTGGCCACTGCAATCACCTTCTCGATGAGCCAGATCACTTGGTTGTCGTTGAAAGTGTCCCACATGGTCGACTTTGACAAGAGCCCGATTACGCTTTCCAGCACGAGAGCAGAAATCCAAATCTGGTTCAAGCTGTACATCTTACACAACGTCTCCAGCATTGCCTGCACGATTTTCGAGTCTGCCTACCACGCTGTCAACTTTTACTCGTATATACTTTTCAATCGCCGCTTCAGAATCGAGCTCAAGCAAAAATTGAAGAAGCTGCTTCGAATTTGAACGACGTTAACTGATCGGTACTCGACGAGTACTGCCTCAGCACTCTTGCGGTTCGATTCTGTCTGTTGCCATTGCAAGCGAATAAATTCATTGGCGAAGTTCAAATCCATAGCGCTTCCTCAGCGGTATTCAACTGGAAATCTCAACAGCTCAACAGTGGCTGACTCGAGGACGTTTGTTATTGTTGTCAAATATTTGCCTATGTACTCATTTCGCAGTGCAAATAAATGCAACTACTTTTTCGTCGTCATGATGGTCCTCAACGGCTCAGAAAAAGTGAAGACTACATAAGATTTCGGCTGTCCGCTGATCGAAGCATTTCGCACATGATTCTGTAAAACACCTGATTCGTTAGTCATCGTTATTTTATAATACGTAAATCTTGATCTCGTTTAGAATAGAAGGCAGTTTAGTAAGAATGTCTTAGTCATGATGTGGAGAATTCGACACTGGTACGGACCTCTAGATATCCATACAGACGTGTGTCGAATGTCACGTTGATTTTCTAG